AAGTGCGAACCGGCGAGCGGGCAAGCGGAAATGATGGCTCTCGAGAATATTGAGAGTCTTGCGAAAGAGGTGAGGCTGGTAGAACCGGTCTGGTTGCTTCGATTTGATGCTATAAAGGTTTAGAGCGTAAGCTCCCGGGATCTGGATGAATGGTCCGGACAATGTCACTTACTTATTGAGATCATTCGCTGCTCTCTTCGATAGAACCGTGTTTCCCATATCTACTATGAGCTTCAAGATCTTCTGGTTGGCGGGATCCGGATCGAGAGTGGCCTCCTTAAACCTCTCTTGAGACGTGCGCTTGGCCTCACGGGTCCTAGAGTGCGACGGAAAGTCGACCTATAGTTGCCACTCATCAGTCACTGCACCTCTGTAGATCATCTAGAGTGGGTTCCTTACCAGGAAGAGCTTGTTGAAGTCGGTGGGAAGACTGAGGCCCAGCGAGTTCCCCTTGTGATCAAGAGCGGAGTCCCAGCCGAAGTCTCTCAATACCTTGAGACCATGTCGACTACGTGAGATCAACCCTAGAACAAAGAAAGCCGTCCCTCTCATCGTGAGGACCTCCGCACTTTCTGCGATCTTCACAATATGCTGAACGATATCTGACTCCAGAAACGGCGCACCAAGTTCCATCGAGCCGACGTTACCCACAGCCCACAAACAGCCCTTGACCTTGAGAAGAGCCTCCGTGTCTTCTTCGTCCAGCTGAAAATCGCGAATTGTCCAAGCAAACTCATTGAAATGACCGGAGTGCTCTAGAAGCTTGCATCCTTCAGCGGTGCGGGCGAGCTCTCTATAGAAATGGGGCGGCACTAGTCCAATGTCTTGAAGATCAACCAGATCTTCAGGGACAAAGCTACTCCTCCGTGGCTGGTCAACATAGGCACGCGAGAGGGCTGCTTCAACAAGGCCCACATAAGCATCGTTCCGACCCAAAAACCAATCATCCATTTCCTGGGTAATATAATCCAACCCATCGAGATAATGGTAGCCCACTGAGGTGGACAAGAATCGTAGGAGCAATGGCGCCCCAATTTCACCTAAATGATCTAGCGATGGCCGGCACTTCACCACATATTCGAGATAGTGGCGTTGGTTACATGCCTCCTCGAGGATTTTCACAGCCACTTGGCAAACAGACACGTCGGGATCGTAAAGCTGGGTGACGAGAAGCTTGACCACCCAGTCCGCATTGTTACCAGCAGATGCTAGAGCGGGGAGAGAGACATTTCCAACAGCGTACTTTCGTAGGAGTCGAGTCGCGAAGATTCGAATCTCCTTGGAACTAGTGGTTAGGGCTTTGGACAGAATGACCCTGAGATGACTTTCCTGGGTGTAGTCCATATTCCCAAGAAGAGTTTGAATCAGGTCGTCTCGATCTCGAAGCTCAACGATATGGTAGAACATGTTCAGCATATGCCATCGTTCCATCATAGCCAACCCGTTCGCGTCACTACTCAACGTTCCCAGTATAGCAAAGTACCCTCCGCTCAGCGTGCTAGCCATCTGTTCTTTGGAGAACAGGGGAGCAGACGATGTGAGACCACTCATGCGATCGACTTGGGCAAGACACTCGGCGACCTGCCTCAAAAATTTGTTCTCGGCCAGGTATTTTGTCCCTTCCGGAAGTTGTACGAGTGTGCGCATTAGTGCACACCCTGTACGAACATAACGCTGGTTTGGCTTCGTGTTTGGTAGCATGGAGAATCTGTACTTGAAAGGTCGATAGAATCCGATCAGTCGCTTCATGAACTTCGAGCCTTTGATAGCTTCTTCCAGCCGCTTGGGGTTGGTCAAAGGCCCCTCGACAATGCGGTGAATCAGGTCCCACTTCCATTTCAGGTAGTTGACGGTGTTCAAAACATGCGTCTCCAGGATGGCGTTGCGGAACTGCGTCTCATCCATAGAAGGGCTCAACTTCTCCTTGCCTTGGTCAACAGTGAGGAGAGAAGCGGAAATGTCCACTTCGACATTGTAACGTCCCGCGCCGTTTGGAACGCTACGAGCCAATGTTCTATTGATGCTGTCTATTTGATAAATTGTCGAAGTGGAGATGTCATGGTTTTCGACATCATATTTGATGGCAGCTGGCAGGAGGTGGGGCAGAACTTGGAGCTTCGCACTGATATGCTGAGGCAATGAATGATGCGCTAATTTCAATACCTCGGTAAGGAGTAGAGTGGCTTTGCGCCTGAGTGACAGGTCTGTCTCGTCCTCGATGAGATCCGAAAGTGCCTAAATCTGTATCAGCATTGGTTGTAGTCTCACGTGAATGACCTTAAGAACCTTCGACAACCCGGCCTCGACAAGGGTGGCAAGAATCAACGTTGAGAAATGCGCCGTCAAATCGAATCGATTACCATCATCGTTATAGAATGCTTGAATATGTTTCGTGTCCGATTCTGTTCTGAGGTTGGCCACCCGTCCATAAGTTGTGAGCCTTCGTCCAGCCAGGAAAGATGATGACCATGATGGTGGCTTGATTCTCAATGCGTCAAACAAAAGTTCCATGATCAAATCTCTTGCCTGCGGGTCCGGATAATGTAATGAGTCGAGTAGTGATTGCAAAGGTTTGGCTCCGTTTCTTGCGAGTATAATCAAGCCCGGCCATGTCTTGAGCATTGCCGAAATAGCTCTAGCTGAAGACTTCAAGCGCCCATTGCGGACCGAGTCCGACAAGGAGTCAGTAAACGGTGCAAGAACAGCCTCTAACTCACATCCTCCTCGTAGATGCTTCCTGCTGTGGGGGGTATCGAGAACATGGAGGAAACTCGCTACGAGACTTTCTGAGGCGCCAAACGTTCCTTCTGCTAAGGCGTCATGAAGGGTAGCGAATCCACCAGAATATGCTATCAATTCGGGATCCTTCACCAGAATCTCAGCTAGAGTCATGATAGAGATGTTCCGAAGACGATCCTCGTAGTGCTCCGCGACGGAGACAATGGTCCTGACTACGGCACGCGAAATCTCGCGCACACCGTCCTTGACGTCCAAGAAGGCCCTGACGAACTTCAAAGCTTGCTCCCGCTCAATGCTCGCCTTGCTTTCCTTGACTAGGGACAGAATTACCAGCTCATCTGTATGGAACGATCGAATGATCTGGAGGGATTTCCGGTCCGCGATAGCGTAGCGTGTCAATCTGTACCCAGCCGCCACCGCTTCTTTATTGTCGCTGAGAAGCATGATTTGCACGCGCAAACCGAACACAGACCACTCGAGGTCGTATTTTAAGGTCGGGTGTCGCTTGAACAGCTCCACAAGACTGTTTGCACGTTCAACGTAATAATCCGGGGACATGCCTTCAATTTCCAAGGCCTGAAGTGTTTCTGCAAGGACATATGTGGGTGACTCCATTTCCGCCTCGCCCTCTTGAATCTGGGCTTCCTCGATCGTTGGGTTGTTGCGAGTAGGTGAACGCATGGAGCTGCTTTGAAAGAGGGTCGACAGGCGACTTCGAGGTGGGGTAGACGGCGCCTGCGCACGTAGCATCTCCTCCTCGAGTTCATGATGCAGCTCTGCAAGCCTGCGGTTCGATGAACTCAGCTCCGACTCAACTCTTAATCTCTGGTCTTTCGTATGTTTCGGATTCTTCGCAAGTAGCGCTTCCAGCATGTTCTCGGTTCCCGTCTTAATTTTCATCTCCTTCGCGATCTTGTCTCGAATCACAGCCTGTCGCTCCTCGGTAGTGGGCATATCATCCTGGTCGATAAAGCTGCTCGGTCGACGATTCAGCGCTCCGTCCGGACGGGGTGTAGTGCTCCGCGATGACTTCATGCTCTTCAATTCAGAGCTAAAGCTTCCAGGGGCTCCGACTGAGGTGGTCAACGAGCCTCCCCGGACGCCCCCAATGGTCGCACTGCCTCCAGATTCAGAGCGAGCATTTCTCCCGGGTCTCGTGGCGGGCTCGGCCCAGCTACCGTCCGCGGAGCCATTCTCCAGACTGGAGTATGAAGGTCCATCACCCAGGGCACGATGCTGGACTGATGTCGCGGAGAATCCTGAGTTATATCCGGACGCCATAGAGCTCCATCTAGCCGCGTGATGGGAGTGACTATCACCTGTCGCGACTTAAATAAGGAATGAAGCGCTGCATTGAGTTTGCAGAGAGTCCACAAGCGCTACCGAGACAGCCAGATATCGAGGGTAAAGAAGGAGGAAAGGCTATGGTAACGGTCAACTGGGGCTGACGGCGGGCACTTTAGAAGGGAGGGGAGGAGAGGGGAGACGGGTTCGCGGCGGTCACGCTGGGGAGGCTAGGGCGGCGACGATTGAAGTGTCAGGAGCGATTTATGAGACCCTGGTTATGTACCACAAAGCAACGGATGATAGACTCAAGATACTAGTCCCAGAAAACTAGTTGTCTGCTTCATTGACCGGGGTTTCTCTCAAATCCGACTGTTGGTGGTTTCAGCCTGGATTCATCCATGGCTTGGCCAGCGCCCGTTGGCTGACTAACCCAGCTTTATCGCCTCAGGCCAAGCACATCCCGTAACTACCGGGCTTTCAACAACACGCAGAGATAAGTTCGTAATGAATGAGGGGTGGTCGGTTCGTTCATTCATTCTTTCTTTTTTTTCTCTTTTCTTTTCTCTTTGGTTCCAGGTCCATGACACCACTACAGTCATAATAACTTGTACCATCTTGCAAAACTCGCACATTTTGGTGAACCACCTGTTTATAATCTACTGCGAAAGCATACTCATGAGACATCATGTATGACTACCTAGTTCGTTCCAAGAAGATATGTACATAGAGTTGAATCCCGTAGGATTACAGAGGACCAAAAGAAATAGAAAAATAAGTTGAGAGAAAGAAGAAGTTGTTACATCGACGCAACATCGTAGTACATGAAAGAGAGATTGCGGGAATCAGTATATTCCAAGATGCTGTGGGACAGACTCCGGATATGCAAGACCTAACGGGAATGTACGCTTGGTGGTACAAAAATGGCTGATGGGCTGATAAGGATCGTGATAATAGCCGGTGTAACCATCATATAACTATGGTTCCCACGACTTCTTCCGCGGCGCATCGGCGGTATCGTGTGGTATTTGGACCAGTGTGCTATCACTGCTGTTGTCCATTTTGGCCAAGGTTCCTTTGCTTTCAACAAACTTCGACGTCATGTTGCCGGCGGCAAGACGCTTGTTCTTGCGCCTACGCCAGGCGATGACAGCGACATAGATCAAAAACATTGCCCCACAGATGATACCATAAGCAAGTGGCGACGCGGGTGGTATATCGGGGTTCTTTGTGGCCGCATAATGGAAGCCAATTCCTCCATTGATAATTCCGAGGGCCGCGAGAAAGCGGCCAAGGTACCGATGCGAAACTCCATAAAGTGACGACGTGCCAGTCTTGCGGAAATGCAGGTGTTGCATGATTCCCAGCATCGGCTGTATAATCACGACTCCGCCGACGGCCACATATCCAATAACTGGATGATAGCCACCGAGCTCTTGGAGGTCCTTTGAAACAGAAACCCCGACCCCAAACCCGGCCAGAGCCAAAAGCACGGCGAAGGCCTGCAAAGGGGCATGAATCCATGCCACGGTGCGGCGCGATGGAACGATGTATAGGAGGAGCGCAAAATTAGGAAATAGGAGAACGAAGGCAACGGAGGTCATTACGCCGTGCGCAATTCGCTTTTTGTGAAGAATGGTATCGCTGACCTGCTGCGGGTTGGAGTAAGGCGAATGATGGGATGAAAGGCGCAATGGAACATAGTACGGAGTGGAGAAATTGTTACCGGCATTTTTTTCCAAGTCCAATGTAAAAGACCCATGCCAGTCGTGTTGGTACAGCATCTCCGAAACATTGGTAGACGTCAGTGGATGCCCATAAGTCAATGCCCAAGACCACGAGCTGGACTTTCCCACAGCGCTCTTGCCGTTGGCCAAAGTCGTGCAATTGTCGCAGCGAATGTTCGCTGTCATAATTCCGTCAAATATACCAGATCCCTCCTCGAGGTACGCCTGGATACTAGAATCGTACAGAGGTTGGACATGACCGGTTGCTCTCCTCGTAGAGAGCGTGACGTTATTATCTGGTGCAGAGTAGATGATGAAAAGGTTTCCATCTGTCATTTGCGACCCTTGGCCCAATGCGAACCATTTGACGCCAGGCGGGGCTCTGAGCCGGAGATAGATAGGGCCTGACCCTGTGGACGATGTGTTCTGAGGTACGTCAATGCTGTAGGACACATCTTCATAGTCGTAGGACCTCTGATCGTGATGGATAACCCTGCTGAAACATGTGCGTGCTGGGAAGCTGCAAGTCAGCCGGGTAGTATTGCACATAGAAGAAAGCCTTACCAAGTCCCAGCGCACTCACGGCAGCAATAAGGAAAGAAGACGGTTTCATAATGACGGTAATGACGACGGAACCAGGCCGTCTACAGATTGGATATCAAGGGAAGGCGGCAGAAGAAATCTAGCGTAAATGTGGTCGAAAAGAATGAAGGCAGCACGATTTCAGGTCGTTTGGTATAATAGTTATAATCGAATATAAATAATGGTTTAGACGTTTGATGTCAAGGAGTGTTGCTGCTGGAGATCTCGAAGAATAGGCGTGGTTTGCTATTGGTGACGGAAGTGTCTTCGAGTATGTTAGGGCTGGGATCTTTGCTGCTGAGATCTTGGTGTTCGGAAGTATATTGAGGCAAAAAGCATCACTGCACAAAAATGTCTGTCAGCAACGACCGACAACCAAGTGGGATTTCTACTACTGCTCCATGACATGACGTGAGAGCAGAGCATGGTCCGCGCGATATTCTCGCGTTGAGCATAGCGAGAGAGTGAAAGCAGTGATGACGGAGATAGAGAGATCTGGAACTGAACAGATCCTCGAACAAGAAGACAAGAGGAGTAGTCATACTTGAAGCACTTGGATAATAAAATCGCATATAGTTGTCATAAGCCACATAGCGTTGCCACAAATGCCATGCGACAGATCCGTCTGCATGACAATCTCAACGAGTTGAAGGATGGCGATCACACACTACCATGCGGGCGAACACCACTTCAGATGGCCGGATAAAAACTGACCAGGAAAGGAGAGACTTGCAATTCAAGAGAGTGACAATCGGGACTACTCATTTACTCAGATCGAGCAACGATAGGAAGCAAAATCGAGCCCACGAAAGGAGAGAAGATCGTCAATCAGAATGGGAGATTGTCAGATAGATATGCCCGGCAAGCGGGTACCTTTAGTTTTTTCCAGATTGACAATCATGGCGAAAATCCTCGGGCTTTTTCAGATTTAAGTTCCCTGGGGCTGCCACGCCTCTTTGGGACCTGGGTATCTTGCCTGGTACGTACTCCTACGTAGTGTGGGCATTTTTTTAGGCGTGGAATGGCCACATGGTCTGTGCTTCATGGGTTTGTCTGGATACAGGATGAGAGAGGTCACTGCAATGCCTGGAATCATACTAGCAGGTATTGGCGAATCCAAGGTAGCTTATTGTCTTCAACACTCTTGAAATTAGACTCCTCCTTCTTAGGCAGTAGTAGACGGTCTTAGCGCTGTCAAAGTCATCTAGGCCATAAGCCTGGGAAAACTGTACGGAGCATTCAGGCTGGGCATTATTTTGATTTATTTTTATTATGATTATGATTATTATTCAATTGTGCAGCATCCATGATTTTCAACCGTCGAGATGGGGCATACCAGATACCTACTAAAGGTACCATTGGGTCGGAGAACGGCAGGTGATCAATCAGACCGCAGGATTGTGGGCGGGACTCAATTGGACCTTTTTTTGTTCTCCAATTAACTCCTCCTCTCTCTCTCCCATTTCCGTGTACGTGTTTCCCTTTCCTCCGCCGGCACCGTCTTTTCCACCTCCTTTCCCGACTACGGAGTACTTCTGCACTGGTACTACCTCCGTTCTGAGGCATCAACACGTTCGTTCGCATCCTTTCCCAGCAGTGGCTGACCAGCTTGTTCTAGATTTCACATAAAGTCCTTGACAGCCTCCATCACGCCTTATGATTCGACCAACATGTTGCTCGTTGCTTTGGATGGAAGGACCGGCAAACGGTTACGTCCCGTATATCCATTTCATGTGGAGAAGTGAAGAACTGGATCCAATTCAGCAGTAAACTTCAGGTTCCCTTCCAACCTCTCCCACCCCCCACCTCCCTGGGGGACGCCTCTCTCCTCCCCTCTTTCTAGTCTCCAGACTTAAATCCTCCTCCCCGGGATCAACATGGCTTTCCCCTAAACCATCGTGTCATTCCTTTCCGCCACTTCAACAAAAACTGAGTTCTTACCTACGCACTAGTTCAGAAAGCTGGGAGCCCAGAGACGCAGAGAGACGTCCGGCTTGCTCCGCTTATTGTTCCTGGCGCCAATCATGGACCCTGTTCGTCCTGAAAAGCTGGGTGGCTACCTGCTCGTCTTACTCGGATGGTTCAGTCCTGAAATGCCGTCACTGCCAATCAGCATCGGCCTCCCGTAGCTAAGACCAAGTTATCGGATCTCGGGAACAAGTCGTATTTACACCGATCCAGGGCGGTTCTTCTCGCCGCAGGCTCCTCCTCTACGCACAGCAAATCGCAGCAAGTGGTGGGCCACCGGAAGCTCGGAACCAATGATGGCAATGGAGGAAAACCTTTTTTTTTCTCTTTCGTTTACCCAAGTCCATACTGGCCTTTTCCACGGTCACGGTCGACGGAACCCGAATTTGTTGCAAGCTTCCAAGACGGTGGTTTTGCCGTTCCTGACATAGGGGAGTAGTCAACCCACGCAACCTTGGATGGTAAGCAGTTAGGCTTTTACCCGTGCGATTCCCTTTCGCATCGCAAAAGGGGTTCGTTCGTCCATTGCCCATGCGAAAGGAGAACGACAAACTTTATTTATGCGCTCCTAATGCTATGCTACCCTTACATTATGCTAAATACAAGACACCAGGCTCGCATTCTCTTTTTCTATCCTTCGATCGAAAGTTGGTAGCTGACTAATTGAGGGTGAAGGCAGGTCATGTACTGTACGACTATGCACGTCAACACTCACTCATACAGAATGACATTGTCCAGTCCGGAGTAATTATCTCGCTCGACCACAGCATGATATACACATGTGGGAATCAGATTATGCGTAGCCCTTGTTTCAGGAAAAAGCAAGACCACTTAGCTGCGGAGTCCGGCGTGCAGCCCCTTTGTTTTGGAATCCTGAACCTGTCATCGCTTTGATTAAGTGGTCTCGCTTGGAAGCATCAATCCAATGCCAGAGGGGTCTTCCATCATAGCATCATCAATCATCAATCGCGTCCGAGTCAGTTGTTATTCTTAGCCAGCCTCCTCCCCAAAGAGGAAAAAAAAGGACATGCAACATAGTAAAGGAAAAGGCGCATATCGCGAAGGTCTAAAGTTCGACTAATATTCTTCATCGGAGTGATCATGGACGGCCCATCGGCGGTTATTCCGGGATTTGGCGGCGCGTTTCGCAGCGCTACGATCCGAGGAAGAGGCGAAGTTCATGCGCACCATCACGGGGAGATTATCGAGGACGGCACGGTTTCCCTGGAAGTAATGGGCGGCAAACCCACCCTGCAAGATGCGACGGAGCGAGTTCAGACGGATCCACTTCCACCACCGGTCAATGTTCATGACACCCTGGCTGCCGACCTTAACGGTCAACTTGCTGCCGTAACGCCGGTTCGTGTCTTGATCAATGGCGGTGTTATACATGGGCCCTCGCCGTGGGTTGGTAACGGTGGTTAAAATGGAGGTGAAGTTGCTGTGCAGGCTCTTCTTGTCGCGTTTGCTGATGCGTT